TCGAACGATAAATTATTATTTTTCTTCTTTTCACAGCCGAAAAAAAAAACATTTTCAATAACTACGCAAAAAGAAAATCAAAGATAAGAATACTTATGATTGTCCTCAAGCCATTTCTAAATAACAACCAGAAAATATAAACTAGTACAAAAAAAGACCAAAATTATTTGTTTTCTTTTGACATTTTTTTTTAAATAGACGTATATTGAAAGGTATCATTTTTCAAATTAAAGAATCCCGAATATATATATAGTTTTTATTTACTTGAAGTTTTTTTTCTAAGGACATTGAGGGAAAAAAAAGCTTTTTTTCTAGGTTCAACCATTCGATGAAGCGGATTTAAATGAATTACCACGTAATCTTATATTAAGTCAAGAATGGCGTATGAATACTCGAGCTATACCATCACTTCCTATACCTAAAAAACCAGTTACATATCAACCACCAACACAAATGTCAATTAAACAAGATAAACCTAAATTGAATACAACAGAAAGTAATAATAATAATCATGATACATCATTAAATGGAACAAGTTCACATGGAATTACTGCACTTGTTAGTGCATTTAATAAATCATCGGAAAGTAATGCAGGCAATGGTGAACGATCATCTCGTTCATCAAGTGTAACTAGTGCACAACCAATTGTTCAAAATCTAGTAAAAATTTATACAGAAGCATCAACAACACCAAAACAACAACATAAACAAAGAGATGATAGCGTCGTATCAACAGGTAAACATGATGAATTAACTAAAATTTTCGAACAAGCAGCAAGTCGTTCACAACGACAACAACAACAAACAGCATCAACATCAATTATAAAACAACCATCACGAGGTTATGAAGAAGCTTATGAAGAAATTACATGGGATAGTCTTGTACATGGGTAAGTTATTTTCGAAGAAAGAAACAAAAACACATGTTCTGTCTTTCTAATATTTAAAATAAATTATTTTAGAACAACTCCAGTAGCTCCACCATTTCCTGATCAATGGCAAACAGCTACAGAAAATCATCATCATCCACCAAAAGCACCTGAACGACCAATATCAGCTACATCATCAGATCGACATTCAAATGTAGATAATCTTCATGATATAATCGCATCTATTCATCATCAAAAATCAAATGAAAAAACTTCACCATCATTTCCACCAGGACCTATTCTAGATTCTCGATTAAATAGTCGTCCTTCAACTGCTTCTCATTCACAAATTGATCCCGATGAAGATGATGATCATCATCGAGCACCTACGCAACAACAATCAATCTATACTACGATTTTACCACGACAACATAGTCCTCAAGGTAGTACAGCTGGTAGTATTCGAAGTGCTGATAGTATTTCAACATCAAGACATTCTCCAGCTCCATCACTAACAAATAATCAACAGAAACGATCAAATGTTATTCAACAAGACGATAAAATGTCTCATCGTACATTTTCAGCCGAATCATCAAGACGATCTTCAGATCGATTTCCACCACCACCACCACCAAATATTGACCCACTTGATTTCGATGGTAATGATGGTACAATTAAACCAAAATCTACATCATCAATGTCTCATCGTTCGTCTACTTCTACTATTACAAATCAACCGATCACCAGAAATGAAGTAAATAATATCTTTATTCATCATTCAAAATAGAATAATGTTTTTTTTTTCGAAATTTAGACAAATCTTTTATCAACAGAACGTTTTAATCTTAATACTGATATTCCACATCCTGTTGATACTCGTAATTCTTTAAGTAATAATTCTCGAAATAGTAGTAGTCCTTCTACTCCAACAAATCGATTAATATCAACATCTGTTGAACGTGATTCACATTATCTTATGCCAACACCATCAACATCAATAAATACAGCTGTGACATCCCGTGTTGATTTCTTATTATCGGATCAGAAACGTTTAGAACGTGAAATCGAAGATCAAATCAAACATTTAAAACATGATTATAATGATGTACGTAAACAAATAACTCGTAAAGAATCATCAATACAAAATGAAGTTAAAAATATTGCTACACGTCTTGATGAAGATATTACTGAACATTATCATCGTAAACAAAAAATTTATGAAAATTTAGCTGCTGATACAAATACAGTGCGAACTGAATTAGAACGTTTAAAATCTCATACAAATACAACGAATAATAATCAAAATAAACAACAATTATGGGCTAATCTTGAACAAATTGAATTAAATATGCGAAATATACGTCAAGCTGTTGAACAACATAAAGAACCACGTAGTACTTTAACATTTGCCGAAGGACATCGTACTTTAGGTGCTGATACAATTGGACAAATAACATATAATCAAAAAGAATCTCATCGTCGTTTTAATTCACGTTCACCAAATCCACCACCACCTCTAACATTATCATCATCATTTCAACAAGAACAAACTTCAACAAATATAACACCATATAAATATATTAAAATTGATCATTTATCAACATTAGAACCAGAAGCTGTTGCAATAACAGAAAATAATAAGAAAATTTTATTAGGTATATGTAATAAATTATTTATACTTGATGAATATGGTAATACATTACGAACAATTTCATTAACACCAAGTATACGTGGTATAGCTGTTTCAAAAAAACATCAAACACCAAATATTGCTTATATATCACATGATGAAACAGTTAGTATGATTGATATTGATACGGGACATTTATTAGATAGTGTTAAAGGTATGACAAGAACAAACATTTGATTTTAAATAAATATATACATGTATTTTTTCTTCGTAGAAACAGATTCAACTGGTGAAACAGGTACATTTTTACCATTAGGTATCGATACTGATAATACACGTGGTGATGTTTATGTATGTGATTATCGAAATTCATGTGTTATTAAATTTGATGATAAACTTGAATATATAACACAATGGAGAATTTTTAATCATTCAGAACAATATGATGAAGGTAGTATATTTAAGGTCAAGTTAAGTGAGCTCCTAATTTGAAGTTTTTCTTGAGCATCACCAGTCGACTCAGCACAGTCCAGAATATCTATTAGAGCAATCAAAAACAGATGATTAGAGTTTTTCGCGAAAATTTGGAGCACACTTAACTTGACCTATATTTAATAATTTTTTAATTAATAAATCTTGGTTTTTTAGCTCGACCAAAATTATTATCTGTTTTTGGACAACGATTATATATGATTATTGAACATTCATGTAAACCTTATTATAATCAAGGTAAATATGTCGAAAGAAAAAAAAAATCTTTATTCATGTTTTGTTTAGGCATTGCGTATACATTTTCATTACATATATGTGATGCACATTCTGGTAATATAATAAAAATTATTGATGCTGATTTATTAGCAACACAACGCCTTCGATGGCCATGTTCTGTTCAAGCAATTAATAATGAAAAATGTTATATACTAGATACAATGACATCAGGCAAATATTTTAATGGACAATGGCAAAAACATTGGTCACGTGTACTTGAAATTGGACAAGATGATAGTAATGTTGTAACTGAATTATTTCAATTGGATAGTGAAGCAGCAACAATGGCGATGACGAAACAAAATATGATTATTGCTGCTAATGGTGACATACTTTTTGTTGATTTAAGTTTTCTTAAACAACAACAACGACAACAACAAAATGATTCTACACATGAATATCAAAATTTATCATAAACTATGATTACATCTGTTTAATTTCTATCGAAGAAAATAATCTGACTCATTTTTAATTTCGAAATCTCTTCTCTCTCTTTTTTTGTTTTATTCAATAATATTTGCTTGTTATCACTTGTTTCTAATAAACACATTTGCTTCTAAACAAGCAGTTCATATGCAAGAGAATTTGAATCTCTAGATGTTTCTTTTCGTTGATAGTATCTTATATATTATTTCATTTTTCTTTGTCGATGTATCGCATATTATATTTGTTTTGTTTTATTCATTTTCGTCAATGTTTTTGATCTTATACTGCAAATAAATAAATAAAGGGTTTTTTTTCTTTTGTGTTAATTAGTTTTATGAAAAAAAAACAAAATTCTAGAAGATAATATTTGTTTTTCCAGATGCTAACAGCAAATGGAGTCTTTGCTCGTTTTACAACCATGTCGGCACATCTTACTATACTCATTATGATATTCTGGCATCGTGTAAGTACATTCATCCCGAAAAAAATCCAAGAAAAAATTGAATACCCTTAGACCTTCTACCGGCGTTTTACTGTTATCTTAGCATATACATTGATTGGCGATATTTTGCCCTGAGATTTTCCCATGTAAAAAAAAGTGAACAAAGTTCACTTATAAGTCATTTTTCATGTTAATTAAGTAAGATAAAGTGACTTTTTTTTACTCTTTTTCAATTTGCATAGTACTTTAGAATACTTTTCCCACCTACCAAAGTATTTAATTATACTTCTGTCAGCTTCAAATTATGGTTTATTACTTTTTCGGACTTCCCAAAGTACTTAATAGTACTTTTTAACCAAAAAGTATGAAAAATACTTAAAAAGGTTCACTTATAAGTACTATTCTCTGTTAAAAACCAACTATTGAAAGTACTTAATAGTCACTTTTATGGGTCAAATTTTTTACATGGGTTAGCCACTGAATGGTCTATATAGATCTCTCTGCGATCAAAATTTCAGGGCAAAATATTGCCATTCGATTAGACAGTTGGCAATGTTCCCTCACGACTGGAACTACATTTTTGGCCATTTTAATTGACGAATGAATATTCTAGGATCATTAAATTCTATCATTTAGCCATAATTAAACCTCAATAAAATAAAGAAAATATTCATTCTTCTTGCAGATTTAGAATATTTTTACTATATAGTATTTAGACGAAGTTGAATGATAGATAACTATTGTTTGTACACAAAAAATGACAACCAAAATATATGTCGTTCAACTTCTTCTAAATCTACAGAGCGTACCGAACAATCATAAAAACTTAATACAATGATTTTCTATTATTTAGAGTGAATACGTAGGCTATTGTAGCTTTTCATCAAATAAAGCAGGGCAAACTGATACTCAGTAAGTTATTTTTTGTTCTTCTATTGTATAATCTTTTCAAATATTTTATTGATAAGATTTATTATCGCTTTATCTCTTTCAATTGCATTACTTGTTATTGAATTAATTATATTTTTAATTGGACCAAGTTTATTACGAAATAAAATAACATTTCTCAGTATGTATTTTTTTTTTATTAAATAACAATGAATAATTACATTATTTATCTTTGATAGCAACAATACTTCATTCGGCTGGTGCCATTTCACTTGCTTTTATGATTTTTACTCAATGGTGTAGTGTTTCATTTTGGCCTGTTTTCGCCGTATGCAGTTTCATACCATTTTTCATCGAAATTATTAATGCAATTAGACATAACATGACCAATTAAAACTTACTAAAACTATTATAATAGAAGTGTGAATTTTTTTGGTTTCTTTTTTTTCTTTTAAAGTGTAAATAAAAGAAAAATATATAGGATTTTGAATACGAACATAAAACGCAAAGACTATTTTAATCTATTGCAAATAATTTTACTTTTTCTACATTCACCATACCAATCATCGAGATTAGATCGATCAATGTACTTCAAATATTTGATATTTGAATACAAAAATCATCGATTTTTATTCTTCTGGTCAAAGATCTTATACATCTATCACCTAGATTATGTTTTATAAAAATTCAATCAAACGTATTGATTATATAATCTCATTGACCGATTTCATAAATAAAAAATCAATTTTTTTCTTGTTAATTAATCATTAAAACAACACTTTCTTTTTTTTTGTTATATACTCTGTTACAAACATAGATCGATTACTCAAATCATGTACTTTTTTTTCTTCAACATCGATTATATATACATCATACCATCTAATTAGATTATTTTATACTAAATAAATACAGAATATATTTTTGATATATCGATTTATATCTTTGGTCATTGTCTATATTTGATGTACAAAGAGAAAGATTGATTACTCTATTAAATACTATAAATTTCATTAAGTATTTTTATCTACTTGTTTTGATGAAAAAGAAAATGAATCAATGTGTGAATAATATGGTAATTAAGTTTGATAGACAAAGAAGAGAAAAGAAACATTAGATGTAAATTATCAAATCGCACCTATTTGAAAGGAGGAAAAAAAGTGCAAAAGAAAAAAGAAAAGAACAGAAGCCTAGAGAAAGAACATCTCTTTTAATACAACGACAAAGAAGAAGAGAAAGAAGAAAAAGGGTTCTCCTCATTTTCTATCCCTTTCGTCTTTCTTTTTTTTCGTTAAGTGCGTAAGCGTGTGTATATACGGCCAACTTCAACAAAGATTTTCACCTTGAACATACATTCATTGTCGTCATTTGCATACTTCGAGGTAAGCATAACAAATGTTCTTAGATCTTGTATGTCTGTTTAATCCTTCAATCAATTTTTGATAAGATCATCATGTGATAAATTCCAAAAGTTATTGTCCAACAAAGTTCATCTTTAATTCAATCTTTTCATCTTTCATAAAAGTTCAATATCTAAACGAAACGACCTCTATTAATTTTTCATTCCGATTCGTTGGCTGACCATATATATCCAAATATACATATAAATGTATATATTCATTCATAAATAAAAAATCGATCGTATTTATTTGAATGAATCATTTTACTCATTCGTCTCATCTCATCGTCTCTTCCTCGGGTCATCTGTAAAGTGAGAAGAAAAAAAAAAAGAAAAAAGTATTCATTTACTTTTTTTTCTCACTGTCCATATACCGTCTCACATTTATTTGAATATATATATATATATCACAAAATGGCAATTGAGGTTCATACAATGTTTATTAACAGTATACTTATAGGCAAAGGTATCTAAGAAAAAAGAAGAATTATTATCAAATATTGAACAACGTCACTAAGTTTTTTTTCTACGTTATATGAATGATCGATTAGTTTGTTCTATAACATATAAAGAATCATGAGAACATTGTCAGATGTATGAACTCCTATTCATTCATTCATTCATTCATTCATGCATTTTTTTTTCTATTATAGAATATGCCAAAATTAGATCCGAACAACTATAGATCAACAATGCCTACATCAATGATCGAAGAAATTAAAGTTGTTGTCGTTGGTAAGTTATGTAAAAAGTATAATTAATTATAAATCTCGATTATATTTCTATAGGTGATGGATATACAGGCAAGGTAAGATTAGTTATCTAACATATTTCAAAGAGAGTATTGTATTTAATTTTCTAGACAACATTATGTATTGTTTATAAAGATGGAGAATATCCACAAGATCCTTATGTACCAACTATTTTTGAGAATTATGCAGGTTAATAAATAAGAAAGCAAAATCATTGTTATATATTTAAATTATTGTAGCAACAGTAACATTAAACAATCGTAAATATATTCTCAATCTATTTGATAGTGCTGGACAAGTAATTCAAATGCAAATTATTTATTTTTACTAATAAATTTCTTTTTTGTTTTTAGGAAGAATATGATCAACTTCGTATTATGGCTTATCCAAATACGAATATTTTCATTCTTTGTTTTTCAGTTGTCGATCCAGATAGTTATTCTAATATATTGAGTAAATGGATACCTGAACTTAATCGTAATTAGTTTTTGAAGAAAATTTTTATTTCTAAACAAAAATATTTCCTTTAGGTTATGCACCTCGTGTACCAATTATTCTTGTTGGAACAAAACTAGATTTACGTAATGATCAATCAACACTTGATCAATTAGCTGAAAAAAATCAACAACCAATAAGTCAATCACAGGGCGATTATTTAGCACATGTTTGTTCTGCAAAGGTTTATCTAGAATGCTCATCAATGCTTAATTATAATGTGCGAAATGTTTTCGAACAAGCAATAGATATTCATAATTCTTATGAAGAACGATATTGTAACAGTTTAAGTAATGGACGACGTATTTTATCTGATAAACTTCATTCATGTTCATGGTTTCAAACATTGTTTTGTTGTACGAAAGGATTAAGAAAATCACAACGAAAAAATCATCGTGATCGTTATACAGTGTGAATTTAAAGATTTATATTGATATGTGCAATGGGGCACAGTTTTACTGTGATGAAAAAATGTGTTTATATTGTTCCATTTTTTTCTTTCTTTCTTTCTTTCTCTTTTTTTGTTAGGTTTATTTAAAGTGAAATGAATTGTACTTTCTTTTCTTTTTTTGTTTGGTTTCTTTATATATACATATCTTAAATATTCGATCTTGAATAAAAAAAAAATGTTTTTATATAGAGATAAATATATATATTTGTAATTTTTATTTTTTCATTAGACTGGAAAGATTAAATATAAATTTCAATTATCATCATTGTATTCGTTATCAATGATAAGAGTAGAAATGACTTTTTATAATTCTCTTTAAATGCGATTATTTTATAACTCAATTGAAAAAAAATTATGAACTATTTTATATCGAATATATTTTCAATAGATCATAAAATGTATCTTTGATGTTTTATAAGAGAAATAAAATTAATATAAAACATATATTGTATTTTGTAGTGACGTAACTGGAAAAGAGTTGTAGGGCGGCAGGAGCTCAGCCCTCGTCTGGTTACGCGCTTGTTTAGGATAATATTTTAGTATTGATATATTCGTTGGTGTCATCAGGTGATTTTATACCTTTATTCTCCTTCGTATATGAATGTAAGGCTAATTTATTTTTTCAATAGTAAATAATTGAATGCATTTCAAAGAAAAGCTTTTGTTAGTTGTGAGAGTAGTGCTTTTATCGGATTTTGTAGTAATAATAGAATAATCAGAGAAACTATCATTTTGAGTGAGTATAGATTAGAAGATGAATATTAACGTTGCCTAAGTAAAATTATGATAGTGTACATTTGTAAAACATAAAACAAAGACAAAGAACAGGAAGTTATTGCCTACGGTGTTGATGGAGTATGCAGATTCTTTATTTTTATTTTAATGAGATATAGGAAATAAGTATCACTTGTTTAGTTTTATAACAAATGTTAAGTGTATAGAATGGAAGATACTTTATGTAAATTTTCCTAGACTATATGCTCACTTCAAATTTGTAGAAGCGGTAATTATTTGATCGGTTTGTTCCATGAAATGAGCGTCAGTCTATACAAACTCAAATATTGAGTATTGACAAATACTATTATCACTTGATGACATTTATTGATATCAGTTATTTATCGCTATTTTGAAACTAAATATTCCGTTTATGAAGAAAATGCTTTTATTTATATCTATTTTTCAATCCTTTGATAAAGTAAGAAAAAAAAATGTTTCAAGCTTCTTGATTTGTTGCTGGTATTGATGCTCGAGTTTTTGCTTGATGTTGTGTATGCATTAATGCATGAATACGATCTGTAGCTCCTTGAAATTTTGTTGAATCATGAAGAAATTGATATATTGTTTGTGTTAATTCTTGTTGAATTAAACTCATTAAATCAATACGTTTTGCACTTGTACGTCGCCATTCATATAATTCAGCACGAACTTTTTCTGCTGCACTATTTTCTTTTGAAGAAGATCCATCATGTTCATGACCATTTTCTTCTTCTTCTAAATGATTGTAACATTCCATAAGACTTTCAAGAACCATATTTATCCAACGAAATGATTGTGTTACTGTATCTATATAACAAAATACATTTACATGTGATCATAATAACAAAAAGAAAAAGAAAAAATCCTACCTAATGATCTTGAAATATTTTGAAAGAGTGGTAAAGCTTTTTTATAATCGCCTTGCTGTTTATAAATTAAACCTAAACTTGCGTTTGTTACAAGATAATGAAAACTATTTGGTGGTAAACAAAGTTTATATATTTGTAAACATATATTTAATTGTTCTTCAGCTTCCTGATACCTAAAAATGAAATGATTATATTCAAGAATTATAAATGAATTTGAAAAAAATGTTTTTTTATATTACATTTTTTTACTTAAATAAGTTGCTGAACGAAGTCGATGGACTTGTGCAACTTTAAAACTCATTGTTCCAAATATATTTTGTGCAATATGAAGACAATCATCTAATAATTCCAAAGCATCATTAAAATATGTTTCTTTATTTTCCTTTGTATCAGCTGATAAACGTGATTGTAAGGCATGTGCAAGACTCATTTTAAATGGAAATAAACGAACACGATCTTCAACACCAAACCAATCTTGTGCAATACGATAAGCTTCATTAGCATGATGAAGATAATTTGTTTCTGAAGGATCTTGTTTTTTCTTATTTTCATGTGCAGGACGACGAGAATATGTTAATGAAGCAAGTGTTATTAAACTTTTTGATAATGCTCGATGAGCATGAGCAACAGGTAATGATTCACAACCATAAACTGTTCGAGCACGATCAAATGCATACTAAAAAATTTCTTGGTTAAAAAAAATATACAACAAAAAAAATAGTTTTATACTTGTGCTAATTCAACAGAACTTAGATCTTGTATAAATTCATTAGAAAATTGAACAAGTTGATGAAGAGCATAAACATATTTAGGACTATTTTGACCACAATGTTTTCTATTATTAAAATTAAAAATATTTATATTCGATTATATATATGTATAATATCTTACGCTGCATATTGTACAGCCATAACAGCTGTTGATTGTGCTTTATTCATAATCCATTTTGCTGTTAATCCTTGTGTTAATGAACAAAGTAAATCGACAATTAATAAATGATTTTCTTTATCAACTGATTTAAGACCTCTGATTTAAAAAAAATAGATGATTTTAATATTCTAAAAGAAAACTAGTACCTATAACAAAATTGAATACAAGCATCAAAATTCGCATCTTCATATGCTGTTTGAGATGTTGTAAAATGTAACCAAGCATGATCATTATTATTAATTTCTAAATTAAGTAATGTACATATATTTATTCAAAAACAAAAAATAATATTACCTATCTCAGTTGTTTTTAAATTATCTGAAATTTCATTTGCCGCTTCAATTCTTGCCCATGCTTCTTTTATTTCCATACCTTGATTATGAACTTGTACAAGTGCACAACATGCTCGAAATAAATAAGTCCAAACTATAATTTGTTGTTGTTGTTGTTGTTGCTGTTTAACTTGTTTTGTTAAAACTTGTACAATATGTTCAATAATTTTTCGACATAATTCATATCGTCCATATTGATATAAAAAATGATATAATTGAAAACCTTTATCAATAAGTTTCATATCACCATTTTGTTTATCAATTGAATTAATAAATGATTGAAAAAATTGTCGATCAAAATTAATACTAAAAACTGATGATAATGACATAAAATATTTAAAAAAATAATGATAATGATTTGGATTTGAAAGAATTGTATCAGCAATTGATGTATCAAAAATAGTTTGATTAGCAAGTGATTTTTCTTTTTGTATTAAATTATTCATTAATTCAAGACGACGCATATCATCAAATGCTTGATT